CCCATTCTCATCCCTAAAGACACCCCCAATCCCTGATTGTCCAGGGTTCCCCCTACTACTCCCATCAAAATTTAATTTCATGAACCCAGCAGGTGAAGGTGTCCAAGACACACTCATTACTAACTTGGTCTGTGTGCACTTTGCTATTTCACCCCACTTCCTCAACGTGTCATCCACTGTGTAACCTATGAATAGTTCCAAAGATTTCAGCCACTGTACAACCCTGAAATGAATGATAACCTTTAGTGCTTCCACCCCTCTCTTAGCCGCTGAGAATATCCTGAAGTTTCTTTCTTCCCATATTGTCCAACATACTGCAGCCCTCAAACCTCTCCACATAGTCCTTCCCCTTTTCCTACGCCACCTAAAGACAAAAGGGGAAAAAAGGCCCTGCAGATCTGATGGAGGGTTCCATCTACACCCAAAGAGGGAAAAAGCCCATTCCCAAATTGACCTCGCAAAATGGCAAGACACCAGTAGGTGAAAACCAATCTCCCCATCCGCTTTACATAGAACACACCAATGGGGTGACAAGCAAGTATTGGGTCGCTTCTTTTGGAGTAGATCACCAGTGTTGAATCTTTCCAGATAGGCTTCCCAACAAAAACTACCAACTCTAGGAGGGATTGTTCTGCACCAAACCTCTTCAACAGGGAAAGGGGGGGTTATAGGACTAGTGGACTGGCTTAGGACTTTGAAAAAGGAAGCACAAGAAAAGAAGCCAGTGGGGGTAGGGGTCCAAATTCTAGAGTCTGCCCTTGTGGGGTGACAAGACACCAATAGGTGAAAACCAATCTCCCCATCTGCTTTACATAGAACACACCAATGGGGTGACAAGCAAGTATTGGGTCGCTTCTTTTGGAGTAGATCACTAGTATTGATTTTTTAAATTTGTAATTAGCTTTATGATGGATGCATAGATTATTCTATTTCTCAGTGTGAAGAAAATGAATGTTTTTTCTTCATAACCTTTTGTTTTCTAATTGGTCAATTTATATTTTTTGGAGCTAATTTCTATTTCTAAATTATCATATAAATAAATTGATAAAAAAATTATCATTTTTTTTAGTGGAAATGGTAACTTCATTAAAATAACTTAAAATAACTTTCCAGATTTAAGTACAGCTGTCAACCCCTAAGTAGGTGTTGTGCCCCTAGTAATCTTTCTTACAAAACTTCCCAGAACATACTCTCCCTCACAGTCCCTTGTTTAGCCAATGTGTCAGTTAAACCATTAGCTGATCTCCTTGTCCATTTGAAGCATGCATCAATCTCCCTTGTTATGTTGAGGATTTCCCTTATGGGCTGTCTATAAATCCAGG